AAGCACCAGGACGCTGTTTATAACAATAACAACAGTTGATTGGGAAGTTTTCATGCTTGTAAACTGTTTAATAAATGTAACCAAAGGTGTCAAAGATTGAGGAAAGATGTACACGTTCGTAAGTGCTTGCGTAACTGCTTCGTGAATTTGGCACCAGACTAGCCATGGATCTCAGATTGACTCTTAATCAAATGATTTTAATGTCTTAAACTTTTTTTTTTTAAACTGCTCTTGAGTCCCTGGTTTACTTAATGAGTTTCTCACCCAACTCCTTCCGCTTAACTATATAACGACGTTTACGCGAAAGCACCGACCAGGAATTTTCTCTGGACCAAAAAAGAAAAGAAAAAGATCTTTGAGATTTAGCCATCAATACATAAATAAAGATCTAGTCTTGATAATATACCTCCGATTGAAAAGTTTTAATTACAGCTAGCTAGTGATTGTGGCATTAAATCTTCACCGTGTGATTGTTGAGTGTATTATATGATAATAATAATAATAATAATAATAGATATAGTGCACAGAGTGATTGTATAGGTGAGGGTTTTCTTGTTATATATATATATATATATATATATATATATATATATATATATATATATATATATATATATATATATATATATATATATATATATATATGGACGTTCACTTAAGTGGAACAAATGGGTATTTCCTGGCGAGTACTTGGTATACCCAGTGGGTATGTGGTATACCCGGTGAGTACATGGTATATATATATATATATATATATATATATATATATATATATATATATATATATATATATATATATATATATATATATACCCAGTGAGTATGTGCTATACCCAGTGAGTATATGGTATACCCAGTGAGTACTGGATCAAGTAGATTCCTCGTCTACCCGACCAGGTTGCATACCATTGAGTTTATCACGAGGTGGTTCCGGGGATCAATGTCCTCGCGGCTCGGTCTTTGACCCAGACCTCCTGGTTGATGGCCTGGTCAACCAGGCTGTTGTTGATGAGTGTCTGTGGCTTCCAACATTAAATTACACAAAAACAACTATATGAATATCCATGTCGAATTTAGCATATTGAAAGATAGTCGATCGTAAGGCCTATATAATGTCTTCTGTGTTTCACAAAATAGGCCTATCAGAGCATTTGTCAGTCATCTCAACAATCTATACCATTGTGGTAAACTCTATTATATATCTGTGTCACAGTAATGAACTCCATTTTCAAGAAAATCCCCCCCCCCCCCTTCCCCCTCCCCCCTTCCAAAAATCCTGATTTTTCATCTTGCACGCAGCCTGGGTTACGACTCCGTAACTGCTTGGGTTACGACCCAAGGCGTCTGGTCATCTTGGGTATGACTGGAGACAACTGGCCGTTGCCCACTTGACTGGTGGTCCCTGAGTGTGTGTGTGTGTAAGTGTGTTTACATGTACAATTTGTACAAAGAACCGTTTGTAAATTATTTGTAAATACGAAGTGTAGTATGCTCATGCTGGTCTTAAGTGTTTTTCTGTATTAAATCCTGTAAATAAAACGAATAAGGCTTTTGTTGATTTTTTTTGGACCTTGTATTAAAAATACTAAAAACTGTGCTTTTGTGTGTGTGTGTGTACTCACCTAGTTGTGTCTGCAGGATCGAGCATTGACTCTTGGATCCCTGTGTGTGTGTGTGTGTATGTATGTATGTACTCACCTAGTTGTGCTTGCGGGGGTTGAGCTCTGGCTCTTTGGTCCCGTCAATCAACAGGTGTACAGGTTCCTGAGCCTACTGGGCTCTATCATATCTACACTTGAAACTGTGTATGGAGTCAGCCTCCACCACATCACTGTCTAATGCATTCCATTTGTCAACCACTCTGACACTAAAAAAGTTCTTTCTAATATCTCTGTGGCTCATTTGGGCACTCAGTTTCCACCTGTGTCCCCTAGTGCGTGTGCCCCTTGTGTCCCCTAGTATGTATGTATGTATGTGTGTGTGTGTATGTATGTATGTGTGCGTATTGAAATGTTATGAAATTACACAATACAAGGTCAAAACCCTGACGTTAAATAAAAAAAAGTAGATGGAAATAGATAATATGTAAATAAAAAAAGATGAAAGCATAAATTTCATAAAAAAAATATTGTCGTAGAGTTGCTCACACGGCTGTGCTGTAAACAGTTGCTGGCCGCCGTAACAAGGTGGTTCGGCCCTAGAGGTAACAGTTTCAGACAACCTGGGTAGGTAGGTAGGGGGGGGGGGGCAGTTTAGTCCACACCCCCCCCAGTGTAGTAGACACTCACTCCTCTCCAGAGCCAGACACGCAAACATCAACTCTTCACATTCATCGTGATTCTCTCTCTCATTGATGAGTCGAACTAGCAGCAGCAGTTAGAGTCGCAGTCATGTCCACCAACCAGCCTTGAGTGTCCTTGCCATGGACTCTACACCGTGAGTGGTTCCAAATCAAACACAGGTAAGCAAACGCAGCTAACGTAGCCTAGCTACCGTAGACCCCTACCTAACGCAGCTTAACTAACGTAGCCTAGCCACCGTAGCCCTTACCTAACGCAGCTTAACTAACGTAGCCTAGCTACCGTAGACCCCTACCTAACGCAGCTTAACTAACGTAGCCTAGCCACCGTAGCCCTTACCTAACGCAGCTTAACTAACGTAGCCTAGCTACCGTAGACCCCTACCTAACGCAGCTTAACTAACGTAGCCTAGCCACCGTAGCCCTTACCTAACGCAGCTTAACTAACGTAGCCTAGCTACCGTAGACCCCTACCTAACGCAGCTTAACTAACGTAGTCTAGCTACCGTAGACCCTACCTAACGCAGCTTAACTAACGTAGCCTAGCTACCGTAGACCCTACCTAACGCAGCTTAACTAACGTAGCCTAGCTAACGTAGACCCTACCTAACGCAGCTTAACTAACGTAGCCTAGCTAACGTAGACCCTACCTAACGCAGCTTAACTAACGTAGCCTAGCTAACGTAGACCCTACCTAACGCAGCTTAACTAACGTAGCCTAGCTACCGTAGACCCTACCTAACGCAGCTTAACTAACGTAGTCTAGCTAACGTAGACCCTACCTAACGCAGCTTAACTAACGTAGTCTAGCTACCGTAGCCCCTACCTAACGCAGCTTAACTAACGTAGTCTAGCTAACGTAGACCCTACCTAACGCAGCTTAACTAACGTAGCCTAGCCACCGTAGCCCTTACCTAACGCAGCTTAACTAACGTAGTCTAGCTAACGTAGACCCTACCTAACGCAGCTTAACTAACGTAGTCTAGCTACCGTAGCCTAGCAAACGTAATGGAAAAACCTAGCACAACAAAAACCTATTCAGATAAAATACCATCTCTCCCCCCCCCCCCCCACCCCCACTATTTCAATCGAATCCCATCTCCCCACCCTTCCTTTTACCCCCTCCCCCCCCCCTCCCATCCCTCTTCCGCCATCCCCCCCCCCCCAACCCCCACCCCACTGGTATCCTCTTCACGGTAACCTCAAATAACAAGAGCTAATTGCTCCCTGGAATTGCTCCGCCGGTGGTTAGAGTCGACCGCAGGGTCAATATATTCGTAACCACTGAACCTGGTCAATATATTCCCCCCCGTTGCTGGTGTTTATATTCCTGGCGGTGGTGGTGGTGGTGGTGGTGGCCCGGATTCCGTCAAGCGTTTAAGCAAATACGAAACCGCTACATCTTTTTTATTGTTTTCCAATCAAGGTGCTTTTGTGCACGTTTTTTTTTAGTAGTTCGCGAGCTCTTAATTCTGGACTTTTGTGTAAACAATCCAAGATTACACACAGAAATCCAAGAAATCCCAACACACAGAAATCCAAGGAAATCCAAGGTTAATCGAAGGTTAATCCAAGGTTATTCCAAGGTTAATCCAAGGTTAATCCAAGGTTAATCCCAGGTTATTCTTAGTGTTGTAAACGACCTCGTACAGTGCTTCTGATCTCATAATATCTATTTAATCAGTGTAAACAAAGCCTCAGTGATTGAGGAAAGATGTAAATATTTCGTAGATGGTTGATAATGAATCCTGTTTTTTTAGGAAACATTTTGTTTTTGATTACAAGTCAAAGAACTGATTGTCTTGAAGACATGTACTCTAAGGTGTGTGTGGGGAGGGGGGAGGTTTTTGAATGGATGGATAAGACGAAAACGCTTGGGCAACCCCTGTGTCTTCACCTAGCAGTAAATAGGTATGCCCAAGACTTAGACAACTGTTGTGGGCTGCTTACTGTTTTCCGGAATGGCAGAGAACATCTCCCAGGACCGTTTCTTTATCCTCCACTAAACCTTCCTTCTCTTGCCCCTAGTTCAACAGTACTACTCAACAGTACTCAACAGTATAACAGGTAGGTCAACAGTACTACTGTTATATAGTACTCAAGAGACACTCTCTCTCTCTCTCTCTCTCTCTCTCTTCCCCTCCTCTTCATAGGGTGGGTATAAATAGGAGCTGCCACGTATAGGCCAATAGGACTTCTTCATTTTCCTTGAATCTTATGTTTTATGTATCCAAGCTCTCCCCCCCTTCCCCCCCTCTAGGATACAGGGGAAGGCCTGGATATAAACAAAATATCCACCCCACCCCCCCCACTCCCAGATCATGGTACCCACCCCTTTTCATCCTGTTAATATCCTCAGTAAATAAGTCAACAAAAGTCTTGAATTATAACAAAAGCCTTGAACAATAACAGAAGCCTTGAACAATAACAGCAACGTTCTTTAGGGGGGGCCAGTAGCGGCAACAGCGACCCCCCCCCCCCTGAATCCACCGTTTGTCAAAAAAGTGTTTTTGTATCAGTTTGTGAATATTTTAACGTAAGCCTAAACCTGTTTTAGGCTTTGTGAAGGTGTTATGGGAACTTTTTGCTTTGTGTGTGTGGGAGTACTATGGACTTTTGTGTGTGTGTGTGTGTGGGTACTATGGACTTTTGTGTGTGTGGAAGGTACCCTGGACTTGTGTGGGAGTATTCTGGACTTTAG